TTTGGATTGAGGGCTGTGCTGAAGGTGAGTTTGGGTTCCTCGCTCACTTGTGTGGAAAACGAAGGTGAGACCGAAACACGGGGGGAAACGGCCAGGCACGCTGCAGACAGTGCAGGCCAACGTCGCACTGCAAGAGGCATCCTTGCAGTGGCGACAGGAGTGTCCCGAACAATTGCGGTGTGCTCGAGCCCAAGCTTGCAGGTTTTCGGGGATCTGCAAGCTGAGCACAACAGGATTTTCTTCGCAGGTAGAATCAGGTAGAAAAGATTTGGCCCAACCCTGGTGGATCTGCCTGGACATAAATAACCAGAGGCATCAGTGTCGTAAAGCTCATTGACTGGTGCTACTGAGAAACCGTTGCCAAGGAACTTGCAGTAGGACTGTGGTGCGGCGCAGTGCAAGTTGAAGAGCAGCTGGTGGTGGCTGCTCCCCGGAAAACCAATAGTCCAAGAAGCCTCCTTCGGCCTCGCTCCGTGCTGAGGGTTTGTAAGGGTTGGTATTGGCCGGAAAGGATTCAGATGGAGGTTACCCGATCTTCGCGCTTTTCCCATCTGAAGGCAACCAATGGTAATCAGCCTGCTGGACATGGCAGGCCTGCTTTTGTTTACATCCACGTCTCCTGCAAGGGCTGGGGTCTGTCCGTGCACACAGACAAGGCGGAACCTTGCAGATGTTTAGGTCCTCGCGGCACGGCCGCTGGAGGTTGTTTGAAGATGTTGGCTCTCACTATCTGGTGAGTGGTTTGTATGGGCACTTGCTGGGGCAAGGCGGCTCTGGCGTCTGAGGATGGTACATGTGCTGGCTGCTGAGTACGGGCCACCGAAAGAGACCTGTGGTAAGACAAGCGATGAAAGGAGCCGAACTCCTAAAGAAAGGACAGGCTAGCTCACGCGGACGCCACGCAGAGTATGTGTTACTATCTTCAGATGTTGGAGCCAAATTGCCAGCCTTGTGACGTGAGATGTGGTGTTTGGATTCGGCCTCAAGCACTGGAAGGCCTACAACAACAAATCCGAATGAAAACTGTGGTCCTAAGACACGCGGTGCAGCTGCTTATACGTGGCACCGCGGGGGTCACATAGAGATAGAGGGCTTGCCAGCAAGGGAACTCTGTCTAAAGAGAGCCCTGGCTCAGTGAGGAGCTGAGGGCCTGGCTGCGCTGATGCAGCGGAATGGTTGTTCGGCCTCGCCTCCGCTGAGGGAACAACAGTCAATGCTTCTCTGCAGTGTCGGTCCGGGTTAGTAAGAGCGAGAACGCCGGGACCTCGAGCTGCAGTTTTACCATGAAGCAACCGCGTGAGATGCATTATTGGTCAACTGGTGAGTAAGAGCGAGAAAGCCAGGGTGACGCTACTTTGGGGGAGGCTGCAAGGCACGGTTAGTAAGTGCGAGAAAGCCGGAGCTGCGGACGAACCTGGAGTAGCAGTTTTTCATACCTCACGTGTTTCACTTTGCGGCCTCGCATGCGCTGAGGAAATATGCCTCGAACAGAACATCCAGTGCTGAGTGGGGATTGCCAAACTTACGGAGGCTGATGCCACAACAAGTGCCTCAACAGCAATGCATGCGGAGGGCAAAGTTCGGCCTCGCGAGTGCTGAGGGTTGCAGCTGAGAGAGGGCCTAGCTGAGAACGCAACACCTCAAGCGAGGTAATTTTTAGTTTAGTTTCACCTTGACCAACGGCCCCTTCGGGTGGCTACGCCTCGCAGCGTGCAGACGAAAGTTCCTGTCTGCCGCTGGAGGTTGTTTGAAGATGTTGGCTCTCACTGTCTGGTGAGTGGTTTTATGGGCACTTGCTGCTTGCTGTCAACTTGTTGATAGCGCCTTCGTGAGGAGCGAACGCTTAGGTTGCCTGCAACCGTGCCTTTAAGAAAAACAAAAAGAGTTTTCACAGTGCTTTCAAAATTTTCTGCATGCCCATCTTTCATGTTCTCTCTGCATGTCACCTTGACAGCTTGTATGCAGTCTTCATGCCCGGTAACAGTGGCTGACAGCTGAGAGATGCAGAAAATTTTCTTTGGGCCTGAGGCTGCGTTCTAGAGTAGAGGTCTCGTAAGGGGTGCTAAGGGACTGGCCTTAGGCCGTGTGCAAGCCAGTGGCGTGGCCACTGGCGGATGGTGTGTTCCTTGGCCCTGTTATGAGCGGTTCTGACAGCTCTGAGGATTTTTCTTCTTCTTCGAGCGACGACCGCGTTTTGATCCTTGCAGGGCCTCTGCCGCCGTTTCGGCCAGTTTTGTTGCGCCCCAGAGCCTTCTACGACGATCTGCTGCGTGATCAGGTTGCCGCTCCCACCGGCCTTTGGTCTTGGGTCGTTGACAGCAATTTGGTTGCCGTGCTTCTGAGCCAGAGCGAGGGCTCCAGGATTTTGCTGGCACTTCCTTTCCGCAGCTGGCCCTCGCTGCTCTGCACAGCCAAAGGTCCTCACGCTTGCTTTCGCGTATTGCTCACTTTGCCTTCTTAAGCATGTCCGATCCGGCCAGTGCTACTGAAGCCTCTGGTTCCGCCAGCAGATGGGTCGCAGTCGCGGAGCATCCTTTCCCGCCTGAGCCCCCGACCTTGCCTGCCTGTGCAGTGATTGCCCTCGAGGCCCCTGCGCCTGGGCCGCTGACTGTGCTTTCGGATAAAGGGGGGAGTTTAGGGAATGCTTCTGTTGGGGGGAGTTTAGGGACTGCTTCTGTTCTTTCCGACAATGTCTCAGTGTCCGATGGCGACTTCAACGTCGCCGAAGATGCAGGTGTTGGCCCACTGGGGGCTTGCTCTCCTGACCCTGAAGATGACACCCGTCATCCTGATTCTGAGGGTTGTGCAGGTTTACCTCTCGAGTCCCGCGTTGACACCAGCTTCATTGATCAGATTGTTTGCCAACAGGTTGTTGCATCCCGAAATTTGACGCAAATCCGTCTGCCGTGGGAGCAAGGTCCTATGAAGTGCATTTTCAGTGATGATGCCGACTTTGCTGTGCAATCCCCATCCTTGGAGCCCTTGTTACCGCCAGAGGTGAGCACGCCTGATCGGCTGGTCGAGTGCTTGGAGCATGTGACCGACTTGAAGTCATTCTTTCAAACCACGATTTCTAATGTTGCTGACTGCGATATTAATGAGACCCTTGGAAGTTTGCTTCACATTGCAATCAATAAGTTGTGTGTCGTCGTGGAACGGTGCACAGGACAGCCGCCCGACCCTGAGGACATTGAGGCCAGGACGGGGCTCCGCAGCCCCTACACGTTGATCAAGAGGGCCAATTCCCTCCTCGCCTATCTTCGTTGGGTCGATGGTCAGCCCCTTGCAAATCTGTCCTTCTCGGGTGTGTTCCAAGAGACTCTTGTTTGGGAACATTTTCAGTACTTGAAGAAAGAAAACAAGCCTCCGACCAGCGGTTCGACGTTGCTTTCTGCCATGCGGTTCTTGCACTACGTCCTTGAGGTGGATGTGCAGGTATGCATTTCTAGCCGGCGCATCGTCGGTGCCAGTCAGCAGTTGGCTGCTAAGACCCGTTGGCTCAAGCAGGCTCGTGCATTAACAGTTGATCAGGTTCGCAAATTGCATGAACTTCTCGAAGGCAGTGACGACCCCCTGTTGCGTTGCTTCGCTGCATATGCCTTGATCGCCGTCTATGGACGATGTCGGCACTCTGACCTGCAGTGCATCTGGGACCTGGAGTGCGATTTCGATGGTGTTTCGGGCTTTCTGCAGATTCGAACAGGTCGTCACAAGACCTCGACCACCGCCAAGAAGAAAGCGCAGTTTTTGCATATCTTGGTCCCTGCACAGGGAGTGGTCTCTCGTCCCTGGCTGCCTCTTGCAATCCAGGCGTTTGAAGCTGTTAACCTGTGTTTAATTGGCAAGATTGACGGGCCCATTTTCCGCCCACCCCTTGATGCTGAGTGCTCTGCCCTCTGTGCTCGCCCCGTGTCCTCGCAAGAAGTGTCCAGGATGCTTCGTCAAGCCCTCGATTTGCCTGAGGACTCCGGCGTGTCCTCCCATTCCCTCAAGGTCACTGGCCTGTCCTGGGCATCCAAGGCTGGCGCGCGCGCTGGCATGGACCGTGATACTTGTGCTGTCTTGGGTCGGCATGCTCGCAATCAACTCACGACTGAGGTTGTGTACAGCCGTGACCTCAGCGCGGCCCCGTCGTTGGCCTTTTCTCGCTTGTTGCATCAGGTGGCTCTTGGGGTGTTCATGCCAGATGCTCCTTTGCGCGCTTTCTGGAGCGAGTCCTGTGAAGCCTCTCCTGGCCTAGCACCAATTTTGCCTGTGGTGCGACCCTCCGGAGCCATCAAAGTTGAAGATTCCGCCTCCGAAGCCGCGGAGTCTGCGCATGAGAGCAGCGAGGATTCCTCCGCTTCTGAGGCCTCCCGAAGCAGCAGCTCGGACAGTGGGACCCCTTCCTCAAGCCCTCCCCTCAGCAAAAAGGCCCGCCGCTTTCTGCCTGAGACACGGGATGAGTCCGACGTCTGGGTGATCCACCGTCGTTCCCGCAAGTTGCACTTGGTCCGCGGCCAAAGAAATCTTGATGCGTGCCTTCAAGTTCTTGCATGCGGACGTGTGCGCTCCGATGCGTACAGAGTTGCCGAGGATGCTGACCTGGATGCGGTCGAGTGTCAAGGTTGCCGGCGATGCATTTGACGGTTGTGGAAAAGTCGGGTCCCTCTGCTTGCGAAGGTAAGTAGTCGACCTAGGGTCTGCAATGAAGTGTTGCGCCCTCACAACTGTCATGCTGCTGTCTGCCTTTTTCGGTCGAGTGCACGGACAAGGGGGGGGGGGGGGTTGAGCATGAGTGAACGTGAGTCATGTCGGCTGCTTGTTCTCTCTCGCCCCCCCATCAAGTCGAGGTTGGTGACGACATGACCAATGCTTTCATGCCATGATTTGTTGTGTTGATTCCTGATTGACATCTTGATGTTCAGTTACACTCAGTCATGTGAAGTTGTTCGGGTGCATTCTGTCATGTGAAGTAGGTGCCCCTAAGTAGCCTCTCGAGTGCGCTGCGTGAGAGCCCCATGTCTGTGCTGGAGTCTGCCGCTCACTTTCAGGCGAGATGCAAGCTGTTCCGCATCGGCGAGCCCCTCATACGTACCTTGACGCGTCTGGGTTTTGAGACTCTTGGGCAGCTCGCTTATTGCGTGGGCCAACCAGGTCAACAGCTAGCCGATGATCAGTGGCATACTTGGGTCCAAACCTCCATCCCCGCCGCATCAGCCGGGGAAGCTGCGAGTGTACGCCGACTCGTCTTCGAGGCGCAAACACTTACCTTGGCAGATCTCAAGGACCAGGTTACCAACCCCAGTGCCTCTGCCGCCCGACCCCTTGCAGAAGCAGAGCGCGACAAACGCATGGCTGCTTTAAAGGCCAAGGTTTCCGGTGTGATCATAGAAGGTGATGCGGAGCCCAGCCGGGCCCTGTTGGAATTGGCCTGCACCATGAGTTCGCTGGATGAGATAAGGTATATCGCCCCTGAGAAATGCACCTCCCGCTTGAGCGAGGTAGCCCTTGCCAAGCCCCTCGCCCGTGTCGTCGAGCTGGAGCAGCAGCGGCTTGTTCTCAAGGACCAGGAGCTCCCGTGTGACGCCCAAGTTCACAACCCCTTGCTCCTCTCTGCAGCATTCCGTCGTCGAGGACTGGCGCTGGCATTTGCAGACGTGGTTGATTTTCTTGCACATGAAAAATACGTCAATGAGCTGATGCGACACCTGACAAACCCCGACGCCCTGCCAGGGGGTGCTTGCCAGCTGCATCAAGTTGTCGAGGCTGACCGCTTGGTTCATGTGTGGATGCTTGAGAAAGGAATCCGGCCCCGGCGCAAGAGTGACGGATCCCGCGCCATGGATGACGCTCTCTTTGAAGCGCTCTCGTCGTATCGCGTTTCCTTCGTCTTGATCCCTCGTGGAAGCACGGCTGCTGGGAGTGGCGGCGGTCGAGGAAGGAAGCGCAAGAAGACCAAAGATGACAAGGGCAAGAAGGATGATAAAGCTGAGAAGATTCCCCCTGCGCCCAAGGACCCACCTGCTCGCCCCCCGAAAGGTCCAGGCAAAGGTGCTGCCAACCGTGCGGCTGTCCCCAAGGCCATTCTCGACAAGGGTGGCAAAGCCCAAACGCCCGATGGCAAAGCCATCTGCTACGGGTTCAGCCTTGGGGAGTGCCGGGTGGCCAACTGCCCCCGTGCCCATGTCTGCGCGCGTTGTTTCGGCAATCATAGCCTCATGCAGTGCCAGCGCAAAGAGTGACTATCGCCAGAAGCCGCTTCGACCAGTGTCACTTCGAATTCGTTTTCTGCTAGCCAGCCTGACGTGGCGAAAATGTCTGACCTTCCCCCGCAGGTGCTGACTCCTGCCCTTTGCACAGATGAGTCTCGCGACCTCCCCGCTTCAGGCCAACCTGTTCTGGAAGTTCGCGAACGGGCTAATCTTTCTCCTGCATACAGGCCCCTTGGTGAGCCCGTGTCTCTGCTCCCTAAGTCTCCTCCCTCCCCTAGGCCCCCGGTTGCTCCCTCCTCAAGCACCTCTGTTGTTCCCACTAGCACTGCCGCGTCCGTCAGGTCACCTGGCTCTGCAAGTGACCTGCCACCCCAACCCGAGCCCTGTGAGGGTTCGCTGGGGTCCGATGTGGGGCTTGTTGCTGGGTTTTGGGGGCTTCCAAGTTCCCCAAGAGCGCCCGTTCTTTTGCGTCCGAATTGCCATCCAAAAGAACGGACGGTTTCTGACAAAAGAACGGCGGAAAAAGGGCCCGGAATGGACCCGGTGGACCCCCATACCGAGCCCCGCCCTGAAGCACCTGTACGTGAAGCGACTGTGCAGGCGCCAGTCCGCGCTGATGATGCATCCTGTTCTGCCCCCAGGCCTGCTGTGGCTCTTGACTTACGTGAACAGCCTTCGCCCTGCCAGTGGGTCGTGGACGTGGCTCGTGCGGAGCATCTTGCCCGTGCCTCTGTCAACAGCCCTTCGCTTGACGCTGCCCGGCGCATTCTTTGCCTGCTTCCCTCTGAGGTCCCCGCACGGGGCCAAGCGCATAGCGCCTCTCACTCCTGGACCTGCGGCATGTGGACCTGGGGTGCCCGTGCGGGCGTTCGCGGCTTCACGAAACGTTTCCCCGCTGTGACACGTTTCTTTTGTGCTCTACTTCGCCAGCACTTCCCTGGCCACGCATTCACGAATGCTGCTGTGTTCACAAACCTGCGCGCGGAACCGCACGTTGACTCCTGCAACGTACCTGGTTTCCCCAACCTGCTTCTGCCAATCAGCCTTTTCCGGGACGGCGACGTCTGGCAAGAATCTCCAGTTGGCCGTGTTCCGCTGGCAGGGCACGATGCCCTGGGCATACGGCTCCGCGTCAGTTTGGGGCCCCAGACCTTAGACGCCAGCCGCCTGCATGCCACACTCCCTTGGAAAGGCGTTCGGTGTTTGCTTGTGGGATATTGCCTTCAGGGTTGGGAGCGGCTGTCCGAGAAGGAACGACAGGAGCTCCTTAGTTTGGGTTTCCTTAACCCCGGTTCCCTAGTCCAGCCTGCCCCTGTGCGGCCCCTCACGCCCCCCACCCCGCCTTTAATTTTGGAGTTATTCTCCGGGTCTGGTCGCGTCACTGCGGCCCTGCGTGCACTTGGTTTTGAGGCTGTTGCCATTGACAAGGTCAAGAGCGTTGGGTGTGCCGCCCCGCCCTGGGTGCTCGATGTCTCTACGCCAGACGGCCTTGCCCAGCTGCTCCAACTTGTGCAAAACCCGCGCGTCTTGGGGTTGTTCGCCGCTCCGGCTTGTGGCACGTGTTCTCTGGCCCGTGGCATTCCGTGCTGGGACAGCCAGGGCAATCCGGTGCCTGTGCCCCGGCCTCTGCGGTCAGACCGTCACGCGGACGGTATGCCCGACCTCCCCCCCGGTGATGCTCGCCGTGTGCGCCTTGCAAACGAAAGCTACCTGGCGCTTCGACAGGCCGTGCGCCTGGGTGTGCAGCGTGGCATCTTGATTGCTGTGGAGAATCCGCGGTCATCCTTGTTTTGGAAGACTTCCTTTTGGCGCGACGTGGCTCCTGCTTTTCGCTATGTGGATCACCAGGCGTGCGCCTATGGTGGCGACCGCCCCAAGTTCACCCGGATTGCCTACACGCACCCTTCTTTCGAGTCCTTGTGCAAGCTGTGTCCCGGCTGCCCTGCGCATGCGTCTTGGGGTGTCGACCCCGCGGCCCCCAACGGTTTCGCCGCCAGTCGGGAGACCGCCTACCCTCGTCCCTTGGCTCATGCCATTGCGCAGTGCTTCGCGAGTGCCCTTCCCACTGTCGAGCCGCCGGGCCTCCAGCTTCCGGCGTTACGCAGCCTGGCTGGACTTCAACCAAAAGCTAGCAAGGTGCCAGCCTTGGTCCCGGAGTACAAGACCACTTGCGTGGTCCGGGGGCCTGCCGCCAGCCTGGTCCCGCCTTGCCAACCCATGCAACGCCTCGAGCAGGCTTGGCCGGTGCCTGCGGATTGTCAATGCAGCTTGAAGGTCATACCTCCCTATGCTCAGTTGCTGCGTCTCAGTCCGGTTAAAATGGGAAAGCAGGATGAGGAAACTCGTAGGCATGTTGAATTGGCGTGGGGCATTCCGTGGTCGCCAAGTGAATTCATTCAGTGTGCTTGCAAAGCTGTCCACCCTGTGGCCCAAGAAGCACAATTACCCAGCGAACTTCTTCAAGCCGTCGAAGTGAATTGCAATGCGACGACAGCGTCGGCCCTTGAAGGGAAGCGCACAGCTTGGTTTGAAAAATGGTTCAAACGGTGCTTGGAACTCAGGACAGACGAATGCAAACTCAAGGATGGCATGCATCCCGACGTCCGAGGCATCCTTGAACCTAAAAACCTTCTTGTCTGGCGCGAAATCTTAGATGACCTCAACTACCCTGACAAAACTGTCATCGAGGAGGTGATTTCAGGGACCGTGTTGACTGGTGAAGTTCCGAGTACTGGGCTATTCAACCCTGTTTTCAAACCCGCGGCAATGTCCGAGGACTTGTTGCGAGACACCGCCGATGAGGGCAGGCACAGTGTCTTCCGGAGTGTTAAGTCGCAGGGTGATTTGCTTGACCAAGAAGTAAAGAAGCAAACCCTTGAAGAACTACAGAAAGGTTGGTTAGAAGGGCCCTTTGATCCGTCTGAGCTGCCTAACGGCTCAGTAGTTTCTCGCCGGTTCGGGATCCAGCAAGGGTCAAAGGTACGTCTGATAGACGACCTCAGTGCATCGCACGTCAACTCGTGTGTCCAAACAAATGAGTCTCCAAAGCCCCATTCCACCGACGTTCTTGCTGCACTTGCCATTCAGCTCATGAGGTCCACCAATGAGCCACTCTTGGGTCGTACCCATGATTTGAAAGCAGCATATCGACAGCTGGCGGTGTCCCAGAGTTCCGCTTGGTGCTCGTACGTTTGCATCTGGGACCATGAGCGTGCCGCCCCCGTGTGCTTCAGGCTCAAAGCGTTGCCTTTCGGCGCGTGCAGAAGCGTTTATTCGTTTCTGCGCGTAGTGCATAGCATCTGGTTCATAGGGACTGTTGGGTTAAGCCTCCCTTGGGTTTGCTATTTCGATGACTTCATCACGATTTGTTCGGGCAGCCTCGCACACAGCACTGACGCTACCATCAAGCGCTTATTCAAGCTCCTGGGCTGGACACTGTCCAGTGACGGAAAGAAGGACTTGCCGTTCAGGAGGTCTTTCGAAGCTCTTGGCATCGTCGTCGATTTAGAGGAGAGCGCGAACAAAGTTGTGAAGTTTGCAAACACCCCATCCAGGGTGAGCGAACTCTGTGGGTCCATTGGCGACATACTCGACGCTGGTTCCCTCAAACAGCCTCTGGCCTTGAGGTTGAGGGGACGCATGCAGTTTGCTGACAGTCAATTGTTTGGAAGGTCCGCTAGGATGTGCCTTAGACAAGTCACCAAGCACGCCTATAGTGATGTGTCCGATACCTTGTGTGAGGATTGCGTTTTCGCTCTGGACAGGTTCAGGAAGATGCTTCTGGAGCACAAACCCAGAGTCTTGAACGGATCTTTGCGGGAAAAATTCGTCATCTTCACGGACGCCTGCTTCGACCCAGAGGCATCGGACTGGGCGTGTGGTATTGGTGGCCTGCTGTTCTCTGACAGAGGTAAACTCCTAGGTGCCTTTTCCGAGCAACTTGAGCGCTGGCAGATTGAAGCATTGACCGAGGGCTTTCGTAAGACGGTCATTTTTGAAGCTGAACTTTTGGCAGTTATCGTTTCGCAGCTTGTATGGGGACACGTCATCAGACATGCACCTGTGCTGTGGTTCGTTGATAACAATGCCTCCCGCGACATCGCGATTTCAGGCTGCACGAGGTCTGACAATGCACAAGCGCTTCTAAATGTCTTGCTGGAGAGCGAGGAGCAGTTCGATGTCAAAGCATGGTACGCCAGGGTTCCTTCTCCGTCTAACCCTGCTGACCATCCCTCTCGAACAAAGCTGGAGTCCTACGTTCATGGCAACACTTTGGTTGGTGCAGTTGACGTCCGTCAAACCCTTAAGGCTGTTTTCGAAAACTTCTTAAGGAAAAAGGTAAAAAGGTGAAAGTCGGATAATGTGGGGAGTAAGTGCTGGGTTCGTATTGCAACTTTGCATGAGGTGCCAAGTAGATCTACACAGGCTTTCCAAGGCAGAAGGTTTGTCCTTGCGTGGCATGAGGCCCGCATGTGCATGCTTGCCCACGCTTCCACGTGAAAAAAAAAAGGAATGTCCGAGTGAGTGCGTTACTGTAAGCGTTGCGCTCTCTGAACCACACCAAGTGTAGGCTCATGTGTCTTTGTTCTTTGTTGGCTTAAAGGTAAGCTTGAGCGGAGCACGAAGCTTGCTGTCAACTTGTTGATAGCGCCTTCGTGAGGAGCGAACGCTTAGGTTGCCTGCAACCGTGCCTTTAAGAAAAACAAAAAGAGTTTTCACAGTGCTTTCAAAATTTTCTGCATGCCCATCTTTCATGTTCTCTCTGCATGTCACCTTGACAGCTTGTATGCAGTCTTCATGCCCGGTAACAGTGGCTGACAGCTGAGAGATGCAGAAAATTTTCTTTGCCCGCCCGCCCATCCCAGTGGGTGTGGCCGATCCGTGCCTGACGGATCCCGCCTGTGGATCTTCTTCTGCCTGCATGGCTTCCCTCATCCGGGGGAGTCAGTGCTGGGTTCGTATTGCAACTTTGCATGAGGTGCCAAGTAGATCTACACAGGCTTTCCAAGGCAGAAGGTTTGTCCTTGCGTGGCATGAGGCCCGCATGTGCATGCTTGCCCACGCTTCCACGTGAAAAAAAGGAATGTCCGAGTGAGTGCGTTACTGTAAGCGTTGCGCTCTCTGAACCACACCAAGTGTAGGCTCATGTGTCTTTGTTCTTTGTTGGCTTAAAGGTAAGCTTGAGCGGAGCACGAAGGGGCAAGGCGGCTCTGGCGTCTGAGGATGGTACATGTGCTGGCTGCTGAGTACGGGCCACCGAAAGAGACCTGTGGTAAGACAAGCGATGAAAGGAGCCGAACTCCTAAACTCTAGGACAGGCTAGCTCACGCGGACGCCACGCAGAGTATGTGTCACTATCTTCAGATGTTGGAGCCAAATTGCCTAGCCGTGTGACGTGTGATGTGGTGTTTGGATTCGGCCTCAAGCACTGGAAGGCCTACAACAACAAATCCGAATGAAAACTGTGGTCCTAAGACACGCGGAGCAGCTGCTTATACGTGGCACCGCGGGGGTCACATAGAGATAGAGGGCTTGCCAGCAAGGGAACTCTGTCTAGAGATAGCCCTGGCTCAGTGAGGAGCTGAGGGCCTGGCTGCGCAGATGCAGCGGAATGGTTGTTCGGCCTCGCCTCCGCTGAGGGAACAACAGTCAATGCTTCTCTGCAGTGTCGGTCCGGGTTAGTAAGAGCGAGAACGCCGGGACCTCGAGCTGCAGTTTTACCATGAAGCAACCGCGTGAGATGCATTATTGGTCAACTGGTGAGTAAGAGCGAGAAAGCCAGGGTGACGCTACTTTGGGGGAGGCTGCAAGGCACGGTTAGTAAGTGCGAGAAAGCCGGAGCTGCGGACGAACCTGGAGTAGCAGTCTTTCATACCTCACGTGTTTCACTTTGCGGCCTCGCATGCGCTGAGGAATATGCCTCGAACAGAACATCCAGTGCTGAGTGGGGATTGCCAAACTTACGGAGGCTGATGCCACAACAAGTGCCTCAACAGCAATGCATGCGGAGGGCAAAGTTCGGCCTCGCGAGTGCTGAGGGTTGCAGCTGAGAGAGGGCCTAGCTGAGAACGCAACACCTCAAGCGAGGTAATTTTTAGTTTAGTTTCACTTTGACCAACGGCCCCTTCGGGTGGCTACGCGACGCAGCGTGCAGACGAAAGTTCCTGTCTAAGGACATGTTAACTTTGTTGTCCTGCATGCTGGCTCAGAGTTGTGTGTGTGTAGTTGTAGGAACTCCGTAGTTGTGCCTTGGAGGCTCGACGGGAGTGCTGCTTTAAGTGGGAAAGCCTTTTGAAGTGCTTGAGTTGTAGGGATGTGTGTCTGGAAGCTGTAGAAGTGACTGTGCACGTTTTTGCTTGCTTTAGGTGTAGTTGGGTAGGTCCCGAGAACTCCCACTGACGTTTGAGTTTGTTTTGTGGCTGTGGAGAACACGTGGCAGAGCAGAGTTTTCACCTGTGTGTAGAGAGTTTCACTGACGAAGCCTCCGGCTTATGACTTTGGCTCAAGTCGTGAGAAAAAGAGGGTTCAGCGCGCTGCTGCTGTGTTTTCACACGATCTGACTTAAAATGGTGCAAGACACCCTTGGTGTCAAGACAAAAGTCAGAGTGTCCTTAAGACTCTTTGGTTCAAAATTTTCTTTGGAGTTCCTGAGTCTCTAGAGTCGCTGGATCGGTTCTGTTGGTTTCTGTGTTTTTTTTTTTCGGTGGTCTTCGTGCTAACTTTTATTTTTTGATGGAGTGAAGAGGCTGCCTTTCTCTCTTCAGTCTGGTCAATCTTGGTCCTAGAGTTCTTGGGTTGTGGTTGTTTTTTTGTGTTTTGCTTTTTTCACGTGTCCGTTGTCTGTTTCATGTTCGTGTCATTTTTTTTCAATGCTGGTCGGATCTGTTCCAACAGATTCCAAAGTTGTTGTGCTTGGAGCTCGGTCTGTCCTTTTTTTCCCTTGTTGTGAGTTTTCTCAGCTTCTAGTCGATTGGGTTCCCTGGTTTGTTTCTTGTCATTTGAGTTGTTTCGGTCTCGGTCCTCAGTCGGCCTTGGGTCCATTATTGGTTTTTTTGGCATTTTGGCCTTCAACCGGCATGTTTCTTTGTGGATCCGTCGGTCCTCGCGGTCGGTTGTCCTGTATCGTGTGTGCTTGTGTCGTCAGTCTCCAAAAGTACGAAATGGAGCAAGTTTGGGGACCAGAATTGGGAGTGTGCTGTCTGTGGACAAAAATGGAGCAGCAATTCCCTGAATTGGGGGACAGGGCCCAAAAAAGCTTCCAAAATTGGACCTACTTGTTGGCAGAAAGAGAGGAGGTCTTTTCATTGTTTTACATGCTTGGGTCCCAAATTATCTCCAAAATGGGCCAAAATTGGGGTTCAAAACTGCTCCTGCAACCACAGCTGCAAATTCCATGGCGCTGAAGCCACCACACACACAGACACACATTTGCAGGACAGAAGAACAAGAATTGCAAAGCTGGTCCAGCAAAAAAGTTTTGCAGATCTCACTTGGTGTCAAGACAAAAGTCAGGTCATCAAAGTGTCCTTAAGACTCTTTTGGTTCAAAATTTTCTTTGGAGTTCCTGAGTCTCTAGAGTCGCTGGATCGGTTCTGTTGGTTTCTGTGTTTTTTTTTTTCGGTGGTCTTGGTGCTGACTTTTATTTTTTGATGGAGTGAAGAGGCTGCCTTTCTCTCTTCAGTCTTCTGGTCAATCTTGGTCCTAGAGTTCTTGGGTCTGTTGATTGTGGTTGTTTTTTTGTGTTTTGCTTTTTTCACCTGTCCGTTGTCTTCATGTTCGTGTCATTTTTTTTCAATGCTGGTCGGATCTGTTCCAACAGATTCCAAAGTTGTTGTGCTTGGAGCTCAGTCTGTCCTTTTTTCCCTTGTTGTGAGTTTTCTCAGCTTCTAGTCGATTGGGTTCCCTGGTTTGTTTCTTGTCATTTGAGTTGAATCGGTCTCGGTCCTCAGTCGGCCTTGGGTCCATTATTGGTTTTTTTGGCATTTTGGCCTTCCTTTGGTTCAACCGGCATGTTTCTTTGTGGGTCCGTCGGTCCTTGCGGTCGTCGGTTGTCCTGTATCGTGTGTATCTGTGTCGTCAGTCTCCAAAAGTACGAAATGGAGCAAGTTTGGGGACCAGAATTGGGGGTGCCTGCAACCATGAATTTCTGGCAACGCACGTCTGGCCCCCCAAAGTGGGTTTTCAACTGGTGTCTTGCGCCATTTTAAGTCAGATCGAGCTCAAAGGTGTCTCAACACTACTTGGGCAGAAAAAAAAAACCCAAAACCGGATGTCTTAAAACTACTTTGATACTTTGAACCATAAGTGTCTCGAACTTGCAAAGTGATCCCAAGAAATTTCTGCAGATGTTTGTTGTTTGCCAAAGAATTGCAATAGTTGGTCTGCAGAAAGGAACCTTAAAATTATTTATCAAAAAAGTAAGTTGAAAAAAAACAGCACAAGCAAAACCTCAACAAAAGTAAGCGATCCAAATGTAAAACCATCAAAAAACAAGCTCTGAGAACAAAACACATGTCAAATGTACTCCGGTGTTTCGCTCGCTTCGCTCGCACTTATTCACATTGTGGAAAGACACTTTGCCTTTTCAAAACGGTTCGGCTTGGGCGTCGCGCGCAACATGGACGTCTCAGCAGTACAGTTGAACTCGTCTCGTCCTGCAGTTGATTTCTGTCCAAACGGCACTGTCAGAGGCTTTCAAAAACGCTTGTTTCAAGCAATTTCAAATCGCGGACTTGGGAGGTCAAGAGGAGCTTTTCACGGAGAAGACGCGCTTCCTGACCATGTTCAAAGCACTTCTAAACGATGGAGCGTTGGAAGATTTGCCGGATTCCTTGGCCATTGTTTCAAGCTGCTTTTTTCATCATCTTCAAAGATGTTTGAAAGCCACTGGAACGCACCTCTTTTTGCTTTTCAGCAACCGAATCGGAGCATCGAGGTCGTGCCAGGAAAGGGGGCCTGGGGGTCCTAGTTTAGGGGGTCCATTTGGCCCGCAAAATTAACTACACCCCTCCAGCCCCCCACAGTTGCAGCCGCAACCAGCAGCAACAAGGACAACAATTCACGGGCTGCGAACACAACAGACCACCTCCACAAGAGATTCTACTTCAGCTCAACACGACAGCTGTCGTTGCAGGCGATTTGAAATTGCTTGAAACAAGCGTTTTTGAAAGCCTCTGACAGTGCCGTTTGGACAGAAATCAACTGCAGGACGAGACGAGTTCAACTGTACTGCTGAGACGCCCATGTTGCGCGCGATGCCCAAGCCGAACCGTTTTGAAAAGGCAAAGTGTCTTTCCACAATGTGAATAAGTGCGAGCGAAGCGAGCGAAACACCGGAGTACATTTGACATGTGTTTTGTTCTCAGAGCTTGTTTTTTTGATGGTTTTACATTTGGATCGCTTACTTGTGTTGAGGTTTTGCTTGTGCTGTTTTTTTTCAACTTACTTTTTTGATAAATAATTTTAAGGTTCCTTTCTGCAGACCAACTTTGCAATTCTTTGGCAAACAACAAACATCTGCAGAAATTTCTTGGGATCACTTTGCAAGTTCGAGACACTTATGGTTCAAAGTATCAAAGTAGTTTTAAGACATCCGGTTTTGGGTTTTTTTTTCTGCCCAAGTAGTGTTAAGACACCTTTGAGCTCGATCTGACTTAAAATGGTGCAAGACACCCTTGGTGTCAAGACAAAAGTCAGAGTGTCCTTAAGACTCTTTGGTTCAAAATTTTCTTTGGAGTTCCTGAGTCTCTAGAGTCGCTGGATCGGTTCTGTTGGTTTCTGTGTTTTTTTTTTTCGGTGGTCTTCGTGCTAACTTTTATTTTTTGATGGAGTGAAGAGGCTGCCTTTCTCTCTTCAGTCTGGTCAATCTTGGTCCTAGAGTTCTTGGGTCTGTTGATTGTGGTTGTTTTTTTGTGTTTTGCTTTTTTCACGTGTCCGTTGTCTGTTTCATGTTCGTGTCATTTTTTTTCAATGCTGGTCGGATCTGTTCCAACAGATTCCAAAGTTGTTGTGCTTGGAGCTCAGTCTGTCCTTTTTTTCCCTTGTTGTGAGTTTTCTCAGCTTCTAGTCGATTGGGTTCCCTGGTTTGTTTCTTGTCATTTGAGTTGAATCGGTCTCGGTCCTCAGTCGGCCTTGGGTCCATTATTGGTTTTTTTGGCATTTTGGCCTTCCTTTGGTTCAACCGGCATGTTTCTTTGTGGATCCGTCGGTCCTCGCGGTCGGTTGTCCTGTATCGTGTGTGTCTGTGTCGTCAGTCTCCAAAAGTACGAAATGGAGCAAGTTTGGGGACCAGAATTGGGAGTGTGCTGTCTGTGGACAAAAATGGAGCAGCAATTCCCTAAATTGGGGGACAGGGCCCAAAAAAGCTTCCAAAATTGGACCTACTTGTTGGCAGAAAGAGAGGAGGTCTTTTCATTGTTTTACATGCTTGGGTCCCAAATTATCTCCAAAATGGGCCAAAATTGGGGTTCAAAACTGCTCCTGCAACCACAGCTGCAAATTCCATGGCGCTAAAGCCACCACACACACAGACACACATTTGCAGGACAGAAGAACAAGAATTGCAAAGCTGGTCCGGCAAAAAAGTTTTGCAGATCTCACTTGGTGTCAAGACAAAAGTCAGGTCATCAAAGTGTCCTTAAGACTCTTTTGGTTCAAAATTTTCTTTGGAGTTCCTGAGTCTCTAGAGTCGCTGGATCGGTTCTGTTGGTTTCTGTGTTTTTTTTTTTCGGTGGTCTTGGTGCTGACTTTTATTTTTTGATGGAGTGAAGAGGCTGCCTTTCTCTCTTCAGTCTTCTGGTCAATCTTGGTCCTAGAGTTCTTGGGTCTGTTGATTGTGGTTGTTTTTTTGTGTTTTGCTTTTTTCACCTGTCCGTTGTCTTCATGTTCGTGTCATTTTTTTTCAATGCTGGTCGGATCTGTTCCAACAGATTCCAAAGTTGTTGTGCTTGGAGCTCAGTCTGTCCTTTTTTCCCTTGTTGTGAGTTTTCTCAGCTTCTAGTCGATTGGGTTCCCTGGTTTGTTTCTTGTCATTTGAGTTGAATCGGTCTCGGTCCTCAGTCGGCCTTGGGTCCATTATTGGTTTTTTTGGCATTTTGGCCTTCCTTTGGTTCAACCGGCATGTTTCTTTGTGGGTCCGTCGGTCCTTGCGGTCGTCGGTTGTCCTGTATCGTGTGTATCTGTGTCGTCAGTCTCCAAAAGTACGAAATGGAGCAAGTTTGGGGACCAGAATTGGGGGTGCCTGCAACCATGAATTTCTGGCAACGCACGTCTGGCCCCCCAAAGTGGGTTTTCAACTGGTGTCTTGCGCCATTTTAAGTCAGATCGAGCTCAAAGGTGTCTCAACACTACTTGGGCAGAAAAAAAAAACCCAAAACCGGATGTCTTAAAACTACTTTGATACTTTGAACCATAAGTGTCTCGAACTTGCAAAGTGATCCCAAGAAATTTCTGCAGATGTTTGTTGTTTGCCAAAGAATTGCAATAGTTGGTCTGCAGAAAGGAACCTTAAAATTATTTATCAAAAAAGTAAGTTGAAAAAAAACAGCACAAGCAAAACCTCAACAAAAGTAAGCGATCCAAATGTAAAACCATCAAAAAACAAGCTCTGAGAACAAAACACGTGTCAAATGTACTCCGGTGTTTCGCTCGCTTCGCTCGCACTTATTCACATTGTGGAAAGACACTTTGCCTTTTCAAAACGGTTCGGCTTGGGCGTCGCGCGCAACATGGACGTCTCAGCAGTACAGTTGAACTCGTCTCGTCCTGCAGTTGATTTCTGTCCAAACGGCACTGTCAGAGGCTTTCAAAAACGCTTGTTTCAAGCAATTTCAAATCGCGGACTTGGGAGGTCAAGAGGAGCTTTTCACGGAGAAGACGCGCTTCCTGACCATTGTTCAAAGCACTTCTAAACGATGGAGTGTTGGAAGATTTGCCGGATTCCTTGGCCATTGTTTCAAGCTGCTTTTTTCATCATCTTCAAAGATGTTTGAAAGCCACTGGAACGCACCTCTTTTTGCTTTTCAGCAACCGAATCTGAGCATCGAGGTCGTGCCAGGAAAGGGGGCCTGGGGGTCCTAGTTTAGGGGGTCCATTTGGCCCGCAAAATTAACTACACCCCTCCAGCCCCCCACAGTAATCGTACTGGATTCGTCAACGCCTAAGGCTCGCTGGAAAAACTCGTGAAGTTCTGCCGAGAAGAACCTACAAGGCATTCTTCAGGGCCTATAAGGACTCCCCCCAAGTTTGCAGATCCACCCAAGAGGTTAGCATCCGATGTAGCGGCCTGGTGGGAAGTGGAGGAACTGCGACGCGCTCGGCCAAATGCAGGTGGCCAGGCAGCCTGAGACGATGGGGTGGCCTGGAAAAGACGATCAGCTGCACCTTTAGCAGGATAATGTTTGGCGGGCGCGGCATTTGAAGCGGCTAATCTTGCCACTTCAAATGCTGCACTGTTAGAAGGTGTGCCATCTTTACAGCCGCTCCACTTGAGACAACCTTAAGAGGATGTCTCTTAAATCTACAAATTAGCCGCTTCAAACGATACACCTTTAGAGCGATGTTCATAACACAATAAAAACCAAGTGATTTCAAAACTGAATTTTTTTCAGATCACTAACTGCTTTACAAGAACAAAAAACTTGTTTCCAACTGTTTAGGATTTACACCAAAACAAAACCGTTCAAAGAAATCCAGACAAGACAAACAAACACAATAACAGAAACCTGATTAATTCAAACAAGTTTAATCAACGATCACTTCAAAACAAAGTTGCATTTTTTTTATTTTGTCTTCTTCAAAGACACCAGACATTTTTTGTTTTTTGAAAATGTTCTTTACCATTTCAATTTGTCCAAAATGTTTTTATCAGAATTTATTATTTTATTTTTTTTTCAAACTGAAAAATCTGTGTCTGTCCTTCACATTGCCTGAAAGGGGGCGGGGCGGAGGCCCAAATCGCCCTCTTTTGGCCAATGTGAGGGAGGAAATGACCCTGAAGAGAAGGGAGGTTGGGCATGCAGAAACTCTACCCATGTTTTTTTTCTAACTTAACATGAGAATTGAGATTGCCTGACCTTTTCTCTCTTGAAGCGGATTGAGCATTTGCTTCTTTTGATTTGATGCATTTTGATTTGCAGCAATTTGGATCATGGCAAGAACTGCAATCAGCGCTCGGTGGGAAGCTGGAAACAAGTAACCATGGGATCTGCAGGAAGAGACAGACGAGTCTGTTCTCAGCCCAAATCTTGGCCGAAAAGTCGTCAGTCCAGGGCTCGGGAAGAAGACTCACCCATTGAAAGTGCAGAACCAAAGGTGAAGCCCAGAAAGCGACCTGCAAGCGCCTTGCAGCAGCATTTTGAAAGTCGTGGATCCAGCTCATCCTTGCCATCAAGACCGTACACGGATCCTCGTCAAGAGAGTCCCGAAAGAAAACGAGGTCGCCAAGCAAATTTGTCCAGATCTTCCTTGTGGACACGCTTTTCACTTGACGGAATTCTTTGTTCGACTTCTGCTGAGCTCTTGGAGATGTGTGTTGACTTGGACTTGATGCATGATGGTCGACTTGATCCGTGTGAATGGTGCGAAGAGACCAATTGGCGGATTGAAGGAAAGGGAGACCATGCCTCTTACAGGTGCAAGACAAAAAATTGCAGATGCTCAAAGTCTGCATTGACACATGACGCAGATCTCTTCAACAAGAAATTGGCACTTCGATCCTTGGTTGGTGCTCTTTGGCTCTTCTTGTCCCCGATCAATGTCAGTCCGGATCAAGCTGGTCTCATTCTGGGGGTCGATCACCGCACTGTCAGAGACTTGTTTGGGAATTTTCGCAAATGGTTGACGCCCATCATTGACCGCATGAATGAAGAGCTTGTGATGGGTGGTGCTGGGATGGACGTGGAGCTAGATGAGATCAGCTTTAGAAGCAAAGGCTTGGACGACAAGGTTGCTGGGTTTCATCGGCCTTGTTTTGTCCGTTTGTTAAAGTGTTTGTATTGCTTGCGATATCTTCAATTTACACTAAGGTTCTATGGCTCCGTTACATTGCGATCGTTCGTAGAGGAAGTGCGAAAGTCTTCATTCACAAGCTCCCGGACAAGTTGACGGCTTCCGGACAAGGTGGAGGAGGCCCTTTGAGCATCCAGGAGCTGAAGGATACGATCGTGAATTCCGCAGGAGCCAGCCGAATCGCCGTTGGCAGTGTCTGTCACACAGACAGTGCAAAGGCGTACAAGAAGCTGGACTCTGAAGAGCCATTGCCATGTTTGTACAATGGAGCCTTGGGAGGACCTTCTTTTGCTCATTTGAAACTGGCGCACAGCAACGTCCGACACAAGCCGCCCCACCCAGAGTTCACTCGAAAGTTCAAGCTCAAGATCTTTGATGGGCGACAATGGGTGGAAGAGATCAGGGTTGGGGGCACCCAAAAGTTGGATGGGTTCTTTGCAACCTTTCGAAGAGAGGTCGGCAAGCGTCCCATCAACACCACGGGCCTTCTCCTGCTACGGCTGAGGCAATGGAGACACAACTTCATGAGCGAGTGCGCACCTTTCAGTTTTTGCATTGGTTTTCCTTTACGGATGCTTTTCAAGTCTTTGCGGAAATGCGCAAGCTTGAGCGTGCTTCCGTTGGCTCCGTAACGTGGGCAAGCTTGGCTAGTTTTGGAAAGGGAAAGGCAAAGCCTTCCACTGCCCCTGAAACGAAATCTGCAGAGGAGGCTGCTGTTTTGGTGCCTCCTGCAGAAGAATCGCCTCAGCCGCTTTCACTTTCCTGTGATGAAGAGCACGAGCCAGTGTATTCGGAAGGCGAGGACGTTCAAAGCGAACTTTTCGATCCCGAAGAAGAAGAGCTTATTTTTGACAACAAAGGGATCAGAGTCTTGAACTAGCTAGCAGAAAGCAGAAGCTGTTAGAAGTTTGCCAGAGTTTTGCGCGTACAAAAAGAGCTGTGCGTTTTTGGAGTCGATTCCGGTGCATGGTGAGGCTGGGGAATCCAAGTCAGGTCGGTTCAGATCAAGGCTTCGTTTTTGACGTGGTTGTTTGGCAGTGTTTGGTCTTGTGTTGCGTGGGTTTGCTAGGCCAGGGGACAGCTTCTTTAAGGGTGTAACACATCGAGCGGCGTGGCCTGGAATTGCTGCCTTGGAGCGGCGTGTTGGTGGCCGCATTTCCACTTGCGGACTGTGGGTGCCGGTTTGTTAGGCTGCGTACGCCTCCTTTGAAGACGTGACGCCTCGAGCGGCGGACTGCTCTTGCTGCGAGGCCCCTTAAAAAAGGTCGCGGCGCCTCGAGCGGCGCGGCTGACGCCGCGCCGCCCTGCGGGCGGCGCGGCGTTTTGAGCGGTTAAAGTTAACCGCGCGCGACGCCGCGCCCGGCTAATGTTTCTGACGGAAACAACCTGTCTTACTGGCAAGGACTTAGAAGGCGCAGCGACATTCTGAAAGTTGTGTTTGCTTGGGCAATGCTGGGGTTACGCCCACCTGGAATAACGCAGACTTGAGCGCAGCACGCCCTGAGCCTGCCATACTAGGTCAATTTTGCCTGAACGGCGATACACTGCCTTAGAACAAGGCCATCATTTCTTAGAAGGGACCACACATCGTTAATAGCAAGCAGTTGATGACCTGGCGTGTGTCAAGAGCCCAGTTTTGGCTTTTTTTACAGTCGAAGGCAATGATTGCTCTTAAGAGATGTCCGACTTTGCCGTAAGAGCAGCAACAGGTTCTTGACCAAGACCTTCAGCAATGACTGCTCTTGATTCCGCATCCGTCCAAAGGAAGAGGCCAGAGAACAGCTTCTGAACATGAAGTTGACCAGCACGCTTTCACCCCAAACTGACCCCTAACCGGAGGCCAAACTGGCCCCGTGACCAGGTGGCCCGTCTGGCTTCAGACAATGTGTTTTCATGTTCGCGCGCCGCTTTTGTGCAATGCTCTGGCGCTCCTTTTGCTTGCTTGTTGGCGGTACTAATGCTCGTAAAAGTAAAAGTCGCCGTGGAGGTACAGTTTGCACGCTGCTCCTTTCAATATAGTGTGCAAGTTCGCGTGGTCATCGGCGTGCTCCAGGGTTGTGTGCAAGGGTCTGCTCCAGTTTAGGGTTGTGGTCATTGCTTAGTGCAACGTGCAGTACTTAAAGACGTACGCAATCTTGCGGAAACAAAGCCTCTGACAGCAAACTAACGGTTTGTGTGCTTGCTCACGTATGTTTGGCGTGCTACATTGGTGCAACATGTAGCATGCAGCTTGCAGCTGCAACGGTGGTTCTTTGGGAACCTTTCGTTTTCACCCACCCCTTTTTCTTGCACATTAGACTTGTGGTTGCTTGCCTGCTTCCTTGCCATCCTTCAGAAAGGCGCAAAATTCTTAGTTTTCCCTTTCCGTCTTTGGAATTAAGATGTTGCATTTCCGGCCAGAGACAGCAGGCCAAGTCCCTGTCAGATGGGAAACACATGCCGATCCATATGTTCCACTTTTAAGTTGACTAAGTCGATTCTGAAGATAAATCTGCGTTCCGGCAGTGAAAAGAAGAAGTGCACTTCAAACTGGAACGCACGGCAAGGCAGAGGGACTGCTCCGACCCATCACACCGCTGGCAAAGACACATGGCAAACCCTAAGGTTCACTGCTCCGCTATGTGCAAGGACTGGCGTTTCCCACAGTGGAACCGGTTGCTACTAACGCGCATTGACCTTCCTTCTGGCTGGTTGATGCAACTTGTCGGCGGGAACACCCTCCTGGGCGCTAAGCCTAGTGGAGTGGAGTGTCTCTTAAGGCTGCACCGGCTGGCCTCCATGGAGTGCTCTGAGCTGGTCTTGCCTTGATTGTTCATCGTGTTATGTCTTAGGTAAGACTGCCCAGTCTTCCCTCCTCTGCCCCTCTTTGACCGGGTAGGTTGCCTTTTCTGTGCTCTTGGGCTCTTGCAGGCTGCCAAAAGTGATGTCAGCCCTCACATCTCCTTGCCGTATTGGCTTGGGCTCTGGAGGGACCATTGCTTACCAGATTGCGGTCTCCCAAGCTTTTGAGCTTGCGTGTGTGGCCTCCCCTCTGGCTGTCTGTTGAGACTTTGCTTGCGCGCGAACATCTATCCAGGTGGGCGCAGCTGCAAGCCAGGGTGAGCGGAGAACCTTTCGCTCGGGGCCGCTCCACTGGCTGACCACCATGGAGTGCCTTGGGCCGGTCTTAATGTATCATGTACTTGTTCATGTATGTTTTATAAACTATGTTCGTGCGTCATTTTGGCTCAAGAGTGGTGCTTGCTAGCGAGAAAGTCAAGTTTTTTTGTCACATTCTTGCTTGCATGTGAGTCGCATTTGCTTTGGTCGTCATACAATATTTTGCGGTAGCTTTGCATTTTACACTACCAGTTTTGAACCGTTCTCCGGGGGTGAGCGGGAACACTCCACAAGTGAGTGCATGGAAGAGTCGTGTGCCCGACTTGACAGTTCGCCGGCACAGCTGCAGTTGCAAATCCACGAGTTGCACAGCCAGATTGAGCATCTTAGATCTTATACGGCTTTTTTGGAGCAGCGCTTGCATCGTATTGAGCAGGAAGATCAGAGGGTTCGCCGGGACCTGCGTGGCCAGAGAAGCACCTCTAGCATAGGCTGCCTTTCGGTTCGGCTCTTGCACCTTGAGAGTTGCTTCAGCTTTCTTGTGCGTGCAGTTCAGAACAGCTTCCCAAGGCCTCCAGGTTTTTGGCAAAGCTTGATTGAAGACTAGAGGGTTGCAGGATGAAACGCCCGACGGATCCTGATGATAAGCACTTCAGTAAAGCAAAGAGCAAGTGTGCACCACCACCCCTGGGGGGGCTTGCGCTACCAGTTGACAAACCTAAAGGAACCGCTCCCCCTCTGCCGGCGGCAGGTCTTGCCCAGCCTTTGTACTCCCAGGGACGACGCATTGAGCCAGTTCCACGTGCCGGGCAACCTCTGCCCGTTCCTGTTGCGGCATCCAGCAGGAGCAATTGTGATTCCGATGCTGAAGAAGAATCAGCCAGACACTTTGCCAGGTTTCGGCAGTCCTTCGCAGAATCCAACCAACAGCGGCAAAGTACTTCATCGTTTCTCTTGAAAGCTTCCCCGAAGCGAAAGCCAGCAAAGGCGGCCGATCCCCACCATCCCAAGTTCCAGCAGATTGCAGGTTTCTCCCAGATGGCCTTGTCACTGTTTTGGGGTGTGCTTGTTTTTATGGGTGATTGTAGTGGATTGTTCAAGCAGATTCAGTGCTCCGAATTTGCCAGTCATCACACCTCGCGAATTCTTTCCGGGTATGCCACGAACACGGTGCTCCGTTACCTGGCAGCTTGGTCACACTTTGTGGCGAACCTTGAAGGGCTAGGCCTCTGTTTTGGCAATCTTGATAGTGTTATGATGGCAGACATACTAGTCACCATGTCCCTTGAGAAGCATGGAGACCCTACTCTGGGTTCAAGCTGTTGCATGACAATCAAAGCACTTCGTTGGCTATGCAAAGTCGCAGAATGTACAATCTTATCGTGCGCGTATGAAAAAGTGATTGATTCTTTTCTGAAGTCAAAAATTCCTCGTGAACGCCGTGAGAGTTTCCCACTACCCACTTGGGTGCTCCAGCTGTGGGAAAGACGCATCTTGATGAAGCAGGCATCATTCCTTGAAGTGGTTGTGCTTGGTGGTTTTTTGGTTGCTGCCTGGGGTTCATTGCGATTTGCAGATCTTCAACGTGTGGAGTGGAGTTCATTATCTTTTGATTTACATGTCCTTCGTGGTACGTGTTATGCGACCAAAACATGTCACACCGGGCAGCCCTGGGGCATCCTTGCGTCAGGTATTCTGTCTCGTGGGACGCATTCTTGGGTTAGCAAATACCTGCATGCCCTTGACAGGCTAGCTACAATGCATGTTCGAAACCACCCAGATTCGTGGCTTCCATCGTTCTTGCTTCCAGCAGTGCAAGGCGACAGCTTCATGTTGCCCCTGCAAGCTATGAGCTATGCTGAGGCGCTGAGGTCGTTGAGGCATTTTCTCCTCATGCCTTGGGCGTCCGCACCACCAGAGGTACCGCCCCTCAATTTCACAGTGCACAGTCTCAAAGCCACTATGCTTTCCATGTCCCTTCAAGTCAATGTTGATGAGGTTGATAGGAAGCGTCAAGGGCACCACCGCATAAGCAGCTCCGCTCTTTATTCCCGTGATGATGTTCATGGCATGCTTCGGTGCCAATCTTGCATTCGTGATAGCATCCGCACAGGCTTCCGATTTTTGGTCCCCCAGCACAGAGGAGGGCAGCAGCCCTTGACACCAGCGTACATCCCGCCGGAAGCCTTCTCTAAGGACTACGAGTTTGAACCCTTCCAGTGGTTCTCGTTTCAACTTGATGGCAGTGACGATTTGCTTCAAAGCAGTAATGGGAGTTGGGAGGTCGCAGAAAATCAAATAGTCACCCCTGATCCAGATATAGAGGCGCTGGACAAAGATCTCGTGTACCACTCCGACCCAGGATCTTCAGATGAGAGCGAGGAGGAACCTTCGGCACCCCCGGCCGAAGAGCACGACTTAGGTGAGCCTGAGGAATTCTTGCTGGGCTCCTGCACCGCGGTGTTGCATGTGCTCTGCCCTTCAGATGCTTTGTCAGGCACTCTTGTCAATGGGACATATATGCGTGCAAAGTGTGGTGCCACTCTTCCGGCCGATCGGCTCATGATCCACACGTCAGTGCCATCTTCGTGTCGGTTGTGCAGACGCAGTGCATGCTTGGCAGCTTTATCTTGTTGTTCCGAGGAGTGAGCTGGAATGTTCGAGTCAGAAAAGTGTGGTTGTTGTTTTGCGTATGCATCAATGAAACAGCAGGCTGTCATGTTGCACATGTCCACCAAGGGTTAGATTGTTGCTATGATCTTGACATGCTTTTGGTGTTTC